AGAATTTCCCTTCAGCACTGCGCCGCCTCTGAGTCTGGATATGATATTCTCTTTACTCCTAGTTGTAGAATTTCCACTCAGCCAGCCCTCCTGTGGCTCTGGACGTTGTCCTTTCCCTGGATCAAGCTTAATATGACTTAGTTGTTCCAGGCAGCAATCTCTGGTGTTAACCTATGCCGCAATCGTCGGTTCACCTAGAGGAAAAATTTTAAAAGTTAAGAGATATGAGATGTGCAGATGATGCTCCTGGATTAGAAGGTCATCCAGGAGAACAAACTAATGAAGTAGCTTACTTAAAAGGAAAAGAATTTGGAGGCTTTGCCCTACAAGCTGTATTACAGTATGCTACAACTCCACAATTCCTTATTCATGATTTCAAAGTCAAAACTCAGAACCATAAGTTTGTACATTTGTAACAAATTCAATTAGTGGTAAAATCTGGCCTCTGTTGACATGAGGCTATTTGTAGTCTTTACTTATTTCACTTAGTGTGAATAATCAGTGTCTTTGGTTATAGGATGCTGCCCAAGCCCTTGCTAGAAATGTTATGTAATAGACATTTGTGTTTAAGTTTTTGTTAGATACAAGTTTTTAATTCAGTTGGATAAATACCAAGGTGTGCAATTGCTCTGTTGTATGGTATGACTATGTTTAGCTTTACAAGAATCTATGCCAACTGTCTTCCAAACTGACTACCATTTTGCATTTCCACTAGCAATGAATGATTTTTTAAAAAGTGCATTGAAAAGTTTTCTAAAAAGCATGATATGTTATAGAGAAAATAGGATCCAAAATTAAATGCATATGATCTCAATTATCTTTAACAACAAAAAAAGGCAAATGCAAGAACTGGAAGGAAGTACACAAGAATGTTCTGTTGTTTCTTTAGTTTAAGATTATGGTGTGCTTATTCCTGCCACTTTGTAAGTTTATATGTACTGTTTATTAAACCATGAACAAGTATTGCTTTTATAATCAGAGTAGTGAAAAGAGGAAATAATTTCTTCTTTCTTTCTTTGGTGGTAGGAACCTGCAAATAGTCGTCTACCTCCTCACCTTATTGCACTCGACTCCACAATACCTGGATTTTTTGATGACATTGGGTATCTGGATCTCTTGCCATGTCGTCCTTTCGACACAGTTTTTATTTTCTATATGAAACCAGGTCAGAAAACAAACCAGGAGGTAAGATTTCTGAATTTGAGGGATAATTTGTATGGTTATGAATATAAAAAATTGTACATGGCTTGTGCTTATCCATAGTAGGAGATGAATTATATTTGATGCTTAAAGACTTGTGAACCAGTTCAGAGACTGAATTAATGAAAACTATGGTGCTTGGAGTCCCAAGCCTTGACTATCAATGAATTAATTTAGAGCCAAGCTATATAGCATGTCTTTCTTTTTCTTAAGAAATTCAGATTCATAAGACAAAAGAAACTAAAATACGAAAGGTTAGCCACAAAAAGCTAAAGCTAGGCCTGATTGCTTTAGAGTAAAACAACACAACAGATATTTACTGAACATCTTCCCTGTGGCTTAACATGCCAGAGTATAGGCATGATTAACAGTCTTTCTTCCGAAGGAGCTCATCTTCCAGGTAATCTCAGAAGCAAATAATTTCAGTTGAGTTATGCATAGTGTGCAGTGGGGAAAATAACACCTGAAATAGCGGATAAAAACAGAAGACTAAGTAAAACATGATTGTATACGTGTAACAAAGTGAGTAGGAGAAGAGTGAAGAAAACTGTAAGGTAGGTGAGAATGAAAAACAGTAGACGGCAAGAAATTTGAAGTGTCTGTTGGAAATGCATAGTAGAAACATGGAATAGGCAGGCTTACCAAGTATAACTAGGAGAGGGCCAAAGGAAGATTTGAAAAGTACAGTATACAGATGTGTAAGGCACTGTGACTATAAGATCTTGGAATTTTACTGTAATCATTGTAAGACCATTAGCTAATCAAATTGAGAACACCTTAAGAAACTTACCAAAGTCACAAAACATTTATACTGTTAGCACTATTTCAAATTATTGGAGCCCTACTAGAAAAGGAGATTGATTTATGAGAAAGTTCTCATTTCATGTAATTGATTCTATAAGTATTAACAGTTTGCGCCCTGGCCGGCTTGGCTCAGTGGATAGAGCGTCAGCCTGTGGACTGAAGGGTCCCAGGTTCGATTCCGGCCAAGGGCACATGCCTGGGTTGTGGGCTCGTTCCCCAGTGGGGGGTGTGCAGGAGGCAGCCAATCAATGATTCTCTCTCATCATTGATGTTTCTATCTCTCTCTCCTTCTCCCTTACTCTCTGAAGTCAATAAAGAAATATATTTTTTTTAAAAAGAGTTTGCAATCAGTTAGGTACCAGGGTTATAGGTGTGAACAAGCTCTACAAGGTTTCTGTCCTTCTAGAACTGCTGTTTAATGGGAAAGACAGATGATTAAATGAACAGTCATAGAAAAGTGTGCTGATAGTGCCGGAGAACCAAGATGGCAGCATAGGTTAATGCTGGAGTTTGCTGCCTTGAACAACCACTTCAAAAGTGAAACTAAAAGACGAACGGACACCACCCAGAACCACAGGAATGCTGGCTGAGTAGAAGTCCTACAACTAGGAGGAAAGAGAAACGCATACGGACACTCAGAGGAGGCGCAGTGCTGAAGTCAAATTCTGAGGTGTGGAGTGCGCAGAGCGGGCTGGCGGCTGAGGGCGCGGATGGCGTGTTCAATCGGGAGGGAGTCGCCGACTCTGAGCTCCAGATCCGGGCGAGTCTTTAGGGACCCAGACTCAAACGGGAGAAGCGGGACTGTCTGGCTTCAGTCCAAGCGAGTGCAGCTTTCTCTCCAAGGTTTGCAGTGGTTGCTGGGACTCAGAGAGGCAGAGCCCCTGGGGACAGGACTGAGAGCCGACATAACTGCTCTCTCTCTCTGGCCCACCCTGTTGATCCTGTGTGACCCGCCCCGCCCAAGCCCTACACAGAGGCATTTGCAGGATAGCATC